CATTACGAATTATTGTCTTGAAATTTAATTTGAATTTAATTTGAAATTTAATTTAATGATAACATAAAATAAACTAAAATTCGTAAATAACCTGAGTGAGCTTATTTGTTAGCACAGGAGTGAACTCAATAAGTTCATGCTACATGCAATCATAAAATAAGCAGGAATTGAACACGGTTGAATTATTGTTAATAAGATGAAATAGAACTCTCATCTCATCAATGATTGGCCAATCGATGAAAAAATAGAAGATCCAATTTTATTCATCTCATGACGTGATCAAATTTCCCTCAATAAATTCTCCGATATCTTCCGAATAAATGATGCAATTTGGATAAATCAGGGCGCAGTTGAAAGCTCCTGAAAACCCCTTGGAAATGACTGCAAATTTTTCAAACGTCTTCATTAACTTCATTTCTCAATGGCTCCCACCTACGCCTACAAAAAAAATCCCCCAAATGATGAATTTAGTTCACGGAACTATGAAAGAGACCATGAATCCGACCCATTGTTGACGGAAAATGGGAGTTGAAAAGTATTATGGTTGGTATACAACACAAAGCGAAAAACCTCGACACATACAATCATCGTCATCTTCGCCGTTGTCGATGCACGCATAATAATAAACCGTCGGTGGGTATGAAGTTGGGCGGGATGGGGGTGGTGGGGCCCCTAGGATATAAAGCAGTATGGAATCATAAAGGCCTCTTCAATCGGCAGCCAAGGGAAAAAGGTAAATCGGAATGAGAATGCGCGCTAGCACGAACACACGAGAGAGAGTGATGGTGTAGTCGCTGTGTGCACGAATTTTCCATTTTTTTCTCTTCGTCATCGGCGAAACCCAACGGTTTTTCTCGGCTTTAAAGTGGAAAATAAGAATACAGAGTGAGATAGACAGAGAGAGTGAACGAGCGAGGACGGGGAGGCGGAATGAGAAGAAAAAATATGTGTATGCCATATATTATGACGAAATTCTTGATCTTCTGGTAGTCAGACTGCTTTTAATTCACGAGTCGCTGGATTTTTTTAATCGTGATCCACCCACAGTTATATTCCTTTTATTCTCACTCGTCCCCCTGATATTCGGTGCCTTGCTTTCGCTTGATAATTCCTTTTTTTTAACTTCTAATCTGCCGGGTGTATCTTCTACTCTTTCTCCCATTTCTGGTCGCGTATTATTCTCTGAGATTTTCCTTTGCTCTTGCTCTACTTCTGGTTCAGTCCCTCTCTACTGTTTTTAATTAAACAATAAACAATCGTGGGTGCGAAATTTTTAAATTTTTTAAATTTTTTAATAATTTTAAATTGATATCTGCTTAGTGCAGGGTTTTTAATAGAAATCGTTAATTGATCATTTGTTGAGCATCAGAGTAATTCGCTTGACAATTTTTTTTTTAACTTCTCATTTGCCGGGTGTATCTTCTACTCTTTCTCTCATTTCTGGTTGCTTATTATCCTTTGAGATTTTTATTTGCTTTTGCTCTACTTCTGGTTCAGTCCCTCTCTACTGTTTTTAATTAAACAATAAACAATTGTGGGTGTAAATTTTTTTAATTTTATTGTTTCATACAGTGAATTTGATATTTCCTTTGTTTCGGTTTTTTAATAGAAATCATTAATTGAACATTTGTTGAAGTTGGGAGTATTTCATTCGGTGTGCAATTGTGTTGGGAGAATATTCCCATTTCGCTTGATAATTCCTTTTTTTACCTTCTCATCCGCCGGATGTATCTTCTACTCTTTCTCCCATTTTTGGTCGCTTATTATTCTCTGAAATTTTCCTTTTTCTTTGCTCTACTTCTGGTTGAGTCCCTCTCTACTGTTTTTAATTAAACAATACACAATTGTAGGTGTAAAATTTTTTAATTTCGTGGTTTGTTGATATTTTCTCAAGGAAAATAATTGATTTATCATTTATATCATTATCATCGAAATAGGGAAATATGCCTATTTCGCATAATAATAATTTTTTTCCAATATCAAATAACTCTCATTCATCCTCTACGTTATCTCTCATTTGGAACGTGTCATTTTTAGTTTTTTCAATTCCCCAATTGGGGATTAAAATGCGCACTGTTGAGACTTTTTAATGGAAATAATGGATTTATTATTCGTTCATAACGAAAGTACTTCATTCAATGTGGAATAATATTGAGTTTTCCTGGGATATTGGTGAACATTGTTTCATACAAATTTTTGAATACAATTATTATTATGTGTACGGTAATTGGGATATTTTCACGAGGGAAAATTATTACGAAGTGTTTTCTATTCACAAAAATTGGATAAATTACAATAACAATGTATAATACCATTAATATCGAATAACTCGTTGATGTTGAATCTTGACTTTATTGAAATTTGAATTCCCGGATTCCCATTTCCAATTTCACCACGGGAATGGTATTTTTCGAGTCATAACACCTTTTCATTTGAGAGTGCATCAATTAATTCCGATTAATAACTCTAAACATTCGTAAAATTGGATCTTTCACCGGGGAAGAGCCATAATGGGCCGTTGGGCGACGGTGGGAATGCAAGTAGTTCATCTAGAGCTATGGGGCAACCTTTACCTGAAAATTGCCGGTGTGAAAATTGTGGAACATTCATCAAGTTGGCTGGGGGAAGGCGGCAGGCTACACCGTGAAAGGTGCCTTGCAATAGCACCACTCCCCCCTCCTTTACACCTGGCATGTGAGATATCGATTCGCGAAAACCGTCACGATGAATTACGCTGGCAAAGAGCATGCATGTAGGGAAAAAAGGGGGATGACAAGCGAGGAGAACAAATTATTAGTGCTTTATAGAGTTTATTTTGTTATCTTTTGGATTTCCCTGAGGAATTTCGTAGACAGTTGAATTGGAATTTTTGGGAGAGTGAGATTGAATTGGATGAGGGGAAAAAAATTCTGAAATTTAATTTTTAGGAAAATTCTATGGAATTTCTAATTTGTGAGTAGCAAACAGACAAGAATTTTCTAAATTACTTAAATTTTTTGTCCGAATGTCAATAATCTGAAAAAATAATTAGAAAAATTACTTTTGGAGGAAGATTGATGTAATAATTAAAGAATTGCAATTTTTGAAAATTACAAGCATTTGCTCGAAATTCGATTTCATGCCTAAAAAAGGTTTCCGAAAATTTCAACAATTTTAATTATTTACTTATAAACCCCAAATGTCAAAAAAACATTATCACTGCGCAAAAGTTAATTTGAATGACGCTGAATATTCATGATTGTTTTCAAATTTTTCTCAGGGAATTCAATCAACAAATTTGATGATTAAATTCTTGAATCTACAGTGTGGTCTGTATCGAACTCTAAAAGACATTCGGATATCTTTAATCAATTCACATTCTTCCTGAAGCACGAAGAATGTAATGGATGGTCCATTCGAAGAAGGAAAACAATGGAAACAGTCCATCGCGGAATTGTAGTTGAAAAATGCGAAATCGACAATTCTTCATCGTCCAATGGTTTTCACAACTTTTTGTCCCTCTGGATACCGAGGGACTCCTTGCTGATGCTCTCAATTCCAGGGGAAAGCATCGTTTATGTATTACGAACACACTCCACTCATTTTTTCCCCCTTTTACCTCCGTCCAATTTCTCTCTCGTCGTTTTCAACAGTTATATGCACTGGATCCCACTCTCAGAGGGGTAAATAGACGGTGCACGGTGATGCTGAAAAGGCAACATCAAGTGATTGCCAAATATCTGATATCGTAATGTAACTTTTGATTTTTGTCTCGGGAAAATGCCCCCGTCGTATTTTCAATCATCTGGTTTGGAATCAATGTTTCCTTCTCATTGATGTATTTATCTGTTAGTCAGTGTCTTTCAGGGGAGATGAAAGGAGAGGATGAACCTGAAACATTGAGGAATTCAGAAATTAGTTTATTGAGAATAGCAGAACGGACGAAATCCTTCTTGGGCACTCCACTTGCATCTGATGAATATTTCAATACTTCTTGCTGTGTAATTCTCAAGTCATTACTTCTCTCAAATATCTCCAGGAGATGCTTTCAAACTGGCTTTAGATGTCAGGAATGTTTTATTCTTTATTCATCAAAAAAATTGTTTGGAAAGGTTTTTTTTGCTGTAATTTGTGTAAGTCTGGTTTATTAGAGGGAAAATAGGGTAAGATTCATTTATTTTAGTTTATTTTATGTAAATTAGAGTGGATTTAATGAATGGAATGAAAACAAATTTTCCTGATTTCTATTAATTTTTATGGAGTAAACTAAATCACCTCATATATAAGCATCAACTTTAAAAATAATTTTTGTTGTTGCCATGCTTCTGGGGTTTCTCAACTTTTGCTGTCTCTAAATGGATTCAATAATGTGTGAAAAAAATCTCCATAAAATTGGTTACATTTTTTGAATATTAAATCGCTCGCTCGATAATCCTTAATTAAAAATTCGAGAATAAATCCCCCTGAATTACCCCACTTTCAGAATTCTGAATTTCAAATTCACATGAAATTCCTAAAAATTTCTGGACAACATTAATATTCAAGTTCCCCTCCACTCCCTCACCTCCACAATCCCAAACCCCATAATGATCCCCGTAATTTAATCCCCCCCCCCGCCCCTCTCCAAAAACTTCATATTAAAGAATAACATTGACACCAGACCGGATATTTAATAGAATAATAAGATTTTTGGGTGGCTGAAAGGGGCCATCGTGAGTCTGAGCAACGTCGGGCGAGTGCTACGTTCTAGTGGATCTTCCGTCTATACTAAGGAAAATAGCCGAAGAGGATCCCGATATGCGCAATGGAGGTGAGCGGGCGGTTGAGGGGGCCCTTTTGTCGTGGCCAGCAAGAAGTGGAGGATGGCGTGGCGAGTGAGATGAGGAAATAGACTGTGAGAAGGGGGAGACAAGAGAGGGTCGGTGCATGCGCGACGATTTACCACGTGAGCCCGCGAATTCACGAGCTTGAGGACTCGACGTCCTGGTGTTCAGTGTAGTGCGCGTTCTCGTGCGCGACGCTCGGTCTCATCCTGGTCAATGAGCCCATCAGATGAGTATTGTCCGGAGCATTGATGAATATTTAACCGAGCCTATGTCGAGCGATGACAATCAGATGAGCAAGAAGCGGAAAAAAATCAAAATTCATAAGGGAAAATTAAATCGCTAACTCGACACTAAAATTTTACATCGATGGATCAATCAATGTCGTTGAAATATCTCCGCATGAGACTAAAGAAGCTCAATGTAAAATTGCTGCGCAAGAGAATGATGGTGTTACTGGAAAAATTAAAACTCTAAATTTAAAAGTGTCTGGATGTGGTTAAACTCGTTGTTATTTATGAGACAGTGGGCTTATGAAGCACTAGATTTTTCTTTATCGCCGTAAATACGATAATCGCTGAGGCCATCGACCGAGTGCCTTCAGCTATGCACACGGTTCAATTTAACGGTTCATAAGTTGATGAAAAAATCCGGAAAATTCTGTATTGAAGGGGATGATTGCAGGTGACATTAAATGCACGGAAATTCACGGAATTTCTTCTGCAGTCTGGAAATTGATTCATTAAGTCTAATGAAATGACAGTTCTTGAATAGTAATACGATTTGAGTGCTGCTCTATAGTTTTCTAAATATTTTTTGTGAACAATTGCTTCAATGTCAAAATGTGTAAATGCTGGTGGGAAATTTACCGATGACTGAGGATGATTTCTCGTTATATTTTGGTGTGAGAATTCAACGAGACAACGATATTACGTGTAATCAGTCCTTGATTGCTGTCGAAGGGGAGTTATCCCTGGAAATTTAAATTTCAAAATTATTTGGACTCATCAATTACACCAGAAGTCTTGCTATCGATCTCCTGGCAGTGATTAAGAAAATTTTCCGTAATGGAGAGGGTGGCTCGGGCGTAAATATGAGGGGTGATAAATAAGGATACAATGGAAAGGTGCGCGTACAGCATCGAGTGAAAGTTGATTAAGGGGAGAAGTTTTTTTTGTGTCGGCTGAGGTCGGAAAATTGATCTGAAAGGTGAGGAGAATGGGTCAGTGTGAATGATTATTATCGTTTGTCACATGTGGCTCGGTGGGTCATACTCTTGTTACGTGTCTGTTGTGGGGGGTTTCAGGGTAACGAGATATTGATAGAGGAGCTTGAATTATTAGTGCAATATTTATGGGGTTTGATGGCGGGAATTTATGTAGAAAACGAGAGATTTTTGAAAAATGTCATATAGAAACAAAATTTTTTGGGAAGTATATGACATTGGCTTGTGCATATTCATTGTATTTTATTTTTAAAATTATTTATATTTTCTCTGAGCGGAATGTTAGGACATTACCAACAGATTTTGGTTTTCTGATTTTTTTCAATTAGAATTTTTTGAAATTTATTGAGTAGAAACTGCAGGTGAATTTCCAAACTTGACGCAACAATTAAAGATTATATTAGATTGAATTTAAATAAATTGAGAAGTAGAGGAGTTATCTGATTGTCATAGATTTCTATGGGTTTTATTATACTGCGAGAAAACATTAGCTCTGCTGAAAAACTATATGTTCCACGTGAATGTTTGATGGAGTGGAACGGATTTAGTTCAGGGAAATTAACCAACTTGACAGAGGGAAATTTAATATCTTTCACAAAAATTAAATTTTTATCGTGATCATCAGAAACATCACTAGAAGAATTCCAACTGTTGGCAGGAAAAAATATAATTTTTCGGCAGAACTAATTTTTCCTTTGAGTGTATCTTTGACGAAGGGAATTTATCTAGACGGGGGATTTTGAAAAATATCATATGGAAGATGAAAGATATTTGCAGAAAAATGTGACATTGGACCTTATATATTCATTTTATTTCTAAATTAGGGAATATGAGGACATTTGCAACAGACTTTTTTTCACATTTTTTGTTGGAATTTTTTGAAATCCAAGTAACAGCTGCATGTGAATTTCCAAAGTCACTGCAGGAATCTAAGATTATACTAGATTGGATTTTAGCAAATTGGGTATTAAAACCAATAATTGCCTTAATTTGTCAATTTTTATGGGATTTTACTATCTTTGACGAACGGGATTTATCAAGGCCCGGTGGCTTGGCGCAGTGGGTAAGTTCGTTGCCTCACACGCGCAAGGTTCCGAGTTCAAATCCTGGCCGGGTAGAATGGTGCGATCTAACCATTTAAAGTCTTGATCATCATCGCAGTATACCCTAACCGGGTCGAAGCGATGTAAAATAACGATAAAAAAAAAGGAATTTTTCAAGAAAACGAGGAATTTCTAAAAAATTAGAAATATGTAACACGTAAATAAATTTTATTTTTCATCTTTATCTATTATTTTCTAGGAGGAATGTTATAAAACTTCCAAATTTTTGTTTCTTAACATTTTTAACTACGAACTTTTTGCAATTTTAGTGGCAGTTGTATGTGCATTTCCGAATTAACGAAAACATTGATTTCATTTAACTAAATTTTGCACAAATTAAGAATTCAAAACATTAATTCCCAAATTTTTTGTAGTTTCAATAATTCCCACATCGAAAAAGTTCACAGGACAGAAAAATTTCATGCCAAATTGAAGAAAAAGCCCCATTCTACCCCAGTACTTTCTAAAAAGCAGAAAACCCTTTTCTTCATAAATCTAATTTTCGAAATATCTAAAAAAAATTGAAATTTTCCGATATGTTCGATGAAAAAATTCAAACCCTTGAATCCTTGCAACCTCTCGACCAAGAAAATGCCTGAAAATTCCTGGAATGCTTCTTGCTAATTAATGAATAATTAAAATATACAGGTGCACCATGGAAACCTCTCCGACATTGAGTATCGGTGGATCAAGGGCGAGAGCAGCATTGCTGGCAACAACCACCACAACTGGAACAACTGACAGACGAGTTGTTTTTCTCGCCAGTTCACCGGGTGCAAGCAGTAACCACGAGACAAGAACATGGCCTCATAATTGGTCCCCGAGTGCGGTAAGTTTTCATGCACAACATTATTCTCATCTTGTTTAATTTGATACTACGGTGAGTTGGGTAGAGTTACAAAGAAGTGTTTGAAGAATAAAAAAAGAAATCAAAGTGAATGGCGATCTGTACTGAGGTGTCCATCCTGATGAGTATGGATGTAAAAACTATTTTAATTTTCTTCTGTGCTTTACGAGCGTTTATGGAACATAAAAATTCTAAATGTTCTGATTTTGCTTTGCCAACTGCAGTGGTCGACGCGGTTCTGTTCTTCATAACTTTGAAATTAAATTTTTCCCTTGGTTAAATCCTTTGTTTTTCGGATGGACAAATAAAGAAGGAGAATGGGATTTTTTTTCACGTTACTTCAATGCCGAGGGGAATTTTTTTTCATTCAGTTTTACGAGAAATTTCATTTGAGATGATTAATTATGTGAGTTGAGTGAATGCTGTAGATTTCGTAAAGTCAATTTTGTACCTTTCATTGGAGGTTCAATTCTTTTGATGATAAGAACTATATTCCAGTGAAGTTTCAGGGGATTTGGTAGTGAAAATTCACTATTTGATGGAAAAAAAAAGTGAACTATTGTATTTTTTTATAAATGAGTATACTAATTGTTGCTACTAAATTAGCAATTTGCTTCCGAATGGGTTCTTTTTTTAAATTCTTATTTTCCTACTCTCTTCTTTCATTTTTTTATTGCCCAGTACTATCATCAATTGAAATGATCATCAAAATTCGAATAATCGATTGACAAAATCTTCGCCCATCAAAACATCTCAATAATTTTCTACTCTACTGAATGGAAAACGGTTCAAGTCGATTTTGACTATTGGCCAGTTTTTGGTGATTATCTCGGAATCTAAGAGAGATAGCTAAATTTTGATTCCGACCTTTTTTGTAGCACTCAATTTGCCCTAGAAAGAAGGTTATTACGAAAATTCCATTACCTCCTTTAGATTCGGAGATATTCTTCAAAAACTCAACTAAGAGATGAGTCGACGTAAACCGTTTTACCACATCGCTACTGAATTACTCTCGTTAATATAATTCAAGAATTAATTTGAAGTAATAATGCAGTAGTATCATAAATGATGTCCCATTGAAAACAAAAATCCTCAATGTCTTCAACTGGAATAATTACAATATTAATTCCCCTTGAATTAACCCAGAAGCAGACTAATCTCAAGCTTCCAAAAAATAAAATACTTCGTCTCTCCCACAATTTGGTACACATTTACTGATAACAGTACCCCGGTTCACTCATTCGTATATCCAAGTCCCAAGTGATACGGGTAAACTCCCAGCCATTGTGATCTCGTCGGTGTTTCGAAATTCCAAATCCGTCTCTCATCTCATTCGATTCCTCGCTCAAAACCGTTCTCTCCTCTATCTCTCGGCGTGTATCACCGTGGGGTTGAGTTGGCGTGTATCGTTACTCGGTGGCCCCTACGCCAATGCGGGATTGCCCATGTGCCAGTAGATAGAGACCCACCGCGAGGATGAGACTGCCACTCTCTCTCTCTCTGACTCCGTTGACACTGGGGGAAGCTCCGGTTCTCAGTGACATTTTCGGTAATTTTGGATTGATAACATTAGTCAGGAGTGTGCAAACGGGGTTGAATGCCCATTTGAGGCGAGTGATCGTGCGAAAATCCTCCGTATTCATCGCAGAGGAGACAATGTTTTGATTGGGCGCCATTTGTAACTGGGGATGTAATCGGGAATATTAAAATAGATGTGGAAATGTAATTATCTTTACTACCTACCAGAGAAAAAAGTTTGAGAGAAATTATCGAACAAGTCAAGTAATCGTGGAGTGATAGATTCCTCAGAATCAGTGACATGTTCCTGAAAATCTAATTCTTTCTCTCTCGATTAGCTCTTAGAAGATTAGTCGGTTTGCAACTGAGTTGTAGTCCTTCATCAAAATTATAAGTTGTGGGTATTGAACTAATGACTGTATTTCGTTCTTGGGGAGCATTAGTTCGAGTTTATCTGGCTATCGGAATAATTGGAGACAAGATTAATTAAGGAGTCGTGCGGTGGAGTTATTATGCTAATTTTGGCGCGAAGTAGGTTGGCTACAACGATTTTTTCCCATTTTATTGCATATTAAATGATCTGGATTATGAGTAATTTTACAGTGAAATGTCAAAAATCTATTCTTCTTGCAAATGCCATCGGCTTTAGAAGAAATTCTTTCATGTTGTCTCTTAAAATCAATAGTTTGCACTGTTAAAAATTTTCGTCTGAATTTTCCGAACTATCGTTTAGTTGTAAAAAAAAATACGGAAAAAGGCAGAGAATCCCTCATAGGGTGACCAAACTAGGGCTAAAATAACGGATTCAGAATCAGCAGAATTCAGTCTTCCTAATGCAAGTAATTTCATCGCTAGGAGAGCTGGGGTCGAAATTGTGTTGGACTGTGTAATTAGAAAAATTCCAAATAAAGAGTTTTATTCAATTGTAATACATAATTTCCCTGCGGTGATTGCTATCTCATTAATGATAATTAATTATTATAAGCACTGAAGAGCACTCCTTTGTCTCATCTGCTTTACCAACAAATTCCCCAATCAATGTTTGCCAGTATAAAGTCCTCAATGAATTCCGTAGAATTAAAATAAGATCGGCTCACCCAAAGTTTTTTCGATAAGTCCATTTCAACTCGCCTCCACTAGAAGTTGAAAAAGAAAATGAGTCAATAAACTTGGTTGATAACAACTATGCAGATATATTTGCCTTTATGTTAATGAGAAGGAACTTCAGTTCTCCAGTGACTCTCCTTTTTTTTCTTTCTTGAAAAACTGTTCAATAACTGGTGAACGAGTGTTTTGGAATAACAAGAAAATTTTCCAACTCGACATTACGAATCAACGGTAGCATGCTAATATCCATGATGTTAAAAGGGTATTTACCCCCCCACAGTGCAAACATCATAAAAGGTAATCAAAGACAAATATTGTGCCGGTGAGTTACGGCGATTTCTCTTCTGGGGGTAAAATACCAACGCTTGCTCTTGTAATTACCAATTAGGGGGTGAATATTTCATGTTTATTGATATCTTCTATTTGAGGGATGGAGTTTAGAGGGGATAATAGCGCGTAATTCCCATTTTTGGTTCAATGTTGGAAAATTTCTTCTGAAATTTCGAGTGAAAAATCTTGAAATATTTAAATTTAATCTTAAAATGAATTTAAATTCGCGAATTCTTCCGATAGAGACATATTTGAAAGTAAAAAACAGGGACATTCATCCCTCAATTATTTCAATAAAACCCCATTCCCCATTCTCATGAATTTTGAAACAACCAAGTGTCAAATAACATCGCCGCCCCACCCGGGTTAATGGATGAATGAAATCCAGCGAAGAGCGAGTCTCCATAACAGGTCAGATTATTCGTCTCGCCCATTTTATGAACTCCTCTTATTTCTATTTTTTTTTCTCCTTCTTGGACTGCCACCCACGTCCTCGATTATTTCTCGTTCCCAAACTTCGTCTTTTTTTCCCCACTGTTGGACTTTCCTCGGGGCTCCCCTATTCCCACTTTTATTTTTATTCGTCCACTGCGAGTTCATTCATAATCCACCTTCTATACCATCCCATATCAACTGTTTTGTCAGTTCTCAACATGCCCTCGGGAATGAATGGGACTTCTTCTTCGGCTGGTGCTCATTAAAATTTAAGCCACCGTCAAATGGCTGTGACTTTCAAATTTCATCTATTATTCTTGAGGGGTTTTGTCGGTGATGTTTATACAATCGTGGTAAATGAATTTAATGGTAATTAGGATTTATAAAATCATCAGTAATAATTTATGATAACAAGTTAGTTATTTATTCAAGATGTATGACCTCTCGGCCTTTTACATTTTTGCACCCCTCCCATAAAAGTACAAAACACTGTTATAAAAATTGAAATAATAACACATCTTAGATACAATGTCTAGGTATTTTAATTTTATAATTTATGATAACAATAAAATTCATAATTCATCAATTATTATAAGAGAATAAATCGAATTATTTATCTCTCTACACTGACAGAACGGTTTAGTCGAACCAAACGAGACTTTTTAACTATTACCACGATTCGTTAACGATTAACGAATCGCGGTAACAATTAAGAAGCCTCGTTTGGTGCAACTGAATTGTTCCACTTTTTCTATCAGTGTAGGGGAGCTGGTGCCACCAGGAGGTGGGGGGGGGGTGAGTGAGCGAAGCGAGCGAGGGGCGATCAGCCCCCTTTTTATTAGTAATAATGATAAATTAACAAAAGACAATTTCTTCCAAAATCACTCCTCATCCAGATAATTCCATTGAACAAACCCTCAATAATTAATTAGTCTATCCCGAATTAATTAATTACTCCAAGTCAAACACCACTCGATACCCGTAAACCCATCGACACTTATTTATCACTGACCCACGTCGAGAGGTATCGAGTGTCTCGAGTCAGTGGACGGTTGAAAGTGACGAAACAACGAGGGGGTGTGTGAAACGATCGGACATGGGGTACCGAATTAATGCCACGAGGAACAAGCAAAGAGATTGATGTCGGTCTAGTCCTGTCTCTGTCGTGTCGTGCTCCTTCGACCCTTCACCACTACGAGGCAAGCCACAAAGTGTTGGCCCATCGACTTGTGCGGGCGGTGAGAACCCTGATTAATCTCACTCGTTCTCTAATGCTCCCCTTCCCATGTTTTCGTATCGTTTACAATCAAATTTGGATATCGGGGGGGTGTGTGAGTCGAACTATTAGGTATATCCGAGAGGGTGATGGATAGATTTCCGAATCGATCGGTTTTTGTTGAAGGTTTGAAGGGGATTTTTGGGGTTAGGACGAATTATCTGGTCATTATGACCCTATTTGACCTCCGTATGAGATGATGTCATTGGAGGTCACGTGAGGGTTACATGAAGGTCATATGCAGGTTATATGGAAGTGATGAGGTCCATCGGAGGTCATTTGAGGGTTAGTGAAGGGCTCACAGAGGTCTAATGGG